CGTTCTTCTTAGAGGTCAGAAACAACAGCTTTTCTGTTTACTTGAGTTCTGCCTTAACTCCGTGTTGTTGATAACACAGTATGTTCTGCTACTCAGGTCCAGAGCGACAAGCTTGCAGCATCCACTAAGCATGGGGATTACCAGCAATATCTTTTGAACTCTGACCCAAGCAGCAGCAACACAAGAGGAAAAACCAGAAACAGAGACCGAAGACAGTAAATAAGTACCATGCTGTGGTTGGTGGCTCGTCTTACATTAGTTGTGCTTTCAGGTGCCCAGCAGACTGAAGGAGAGAATGGCAGATAGCCTATCGTCACACCTAAATGAAAAGTCTCTTCCCGCTGTCTTCACAGAAACAAAGGCTGGTCTGGACATTAACCCACGTATACTTTTAATCAGTACAGAACACTTCAGAAAATGCCACTGAACTGGCAACCTTGAAGAAAAACATTTTATATACAAATCAGAGGCAGCAATACTCCAGCGCTGCGTCATTATGTACATCAACCATGTTGGGTGCAGCGTTCAATACCAGCTCCAGGCAGGTTACCTGCCAATCCGTTTTAAGCACTGCATGATGCAGATCCTCCTATGAGTAAAAGCAGCACCGCATGGCCTCCTGCAGACAATGCACACGCTGCAGAAAGGGCAGCAGTTGGAATTACAAGGCTTCCTTTTACTGTGGTAACCTTAGAACACGGTGGTGCAAAGCACAGCCAAGTGCTTAGAGGGAAAGCATGGGGTCTGGTGGCTTTTGGTTTGTATTTTTTAAACTGCTCTCCTACTGCACCCCCCAACCACCACATCCTGCCCAATGCAGTGCCCTCAGCCCCAGAGGTTGCTGCCTGTACACTGAACCTTTGATGCCTGTTTGAAGATGACTCATCACAACTACCAGCCTCCACCTTCCCCAGCACCTTCTCTCCCCTCCCCCTACAGAAGACAAGGGCAGCTCCGTGCTACATTAACTAGAACAGGAGCGGGGGGGGGAAGCAGCATATCTGTGTCTGCCTCTCTCTTGCATGGGAAAAGCTTGCTTTTATAGCCTAGCCAATAACGGTTGTCTTTCAGAGATATGTCAAAACGTATTGCAGCCTTTGATGAGTTAGAATATCAACTATGTGCCTTTTAGCATCATCCACATGCCTGCTTGTGAGCACTGAGTAATCAAAAACCTCAGTACTTGTTTTATAAATAACTTAAAGGTTGCCTGAATTTAATTCAAGTTTTTAACAGCACTGCATTGGTTAAACACTGAGTAAAGAACTTCAGTTAGAAATGCTGCAGTATTCAGAGAATGAGGATTTCTAGCATAAGAGTGACATCCTTCACCATTACTGAAACAAGCTTTATTTCATTTACACTTGCTGCTACATCTAAACAGGTCACAATATACTCAGAGTGCTGTGGAATCAGTTATCAAATATCACTCATTTTAAGGCATGCCTTGAATGAAGGACAGCTGTCATTAGAGAAGCCATCAAATGTGATTCTAGCACATTCCAGGAACCAGATGCCAGTTTGGAAGTAGAACAATATCATCAGTATGAAGCACTTCTGTCCCATGGCAGCAGTAAAAAGGGGCTGTCTCCAGCTAATTACAGCTTCTTGATAAAACACTTCAAGTAGTACTCCGCTTAATACAGCAAAATTCAAAGATGATTTCTGAATGAATGCTATACCTACAGAAGACTGCCTCCAAAGAGCAGCAGTAAGCAAGACTGGTACCATAGGGATAAACAATTGTGCAGAGGCTTCCAGTGCTGCACTGTAACAAAAACATAACTCAGTCCTTGACTGTGTGCAGTAAATGGATGATTTTCTGGAAGGCACAGCAATTTTAAGCACGTCAGGTTTCCTCCATTTCCATACAGCTTTTCCCAAAGCACTACTGGAGTTTTTGCAGCTTCCTATATGAGACTAAGTTATGTCAATACTACCTAGTGACACATTCACTGCCCACAAAAGTGTCAAAGCGTTGATGTAAAACTATTGAGGTCAGCTCGCTTAGAGCCAGTTATCATTATAGCCAGTTTGTAACTACAGAATTGTGCTTGCTCTGTTCTCTTCAAGCATAGTCACTCCCTAGCAAATATCCTCCTCTCTCCCATGCCATCAGGAAAGAAATAAGGCTCAGAGCAATACTTTTTCATGAAGGTCAAAGATCTTAATGTGAAAAGATGCTACAACGTATGGGTCATTTACAGCCTCCCTGGAACGACAGTCCTTCTTCCACCTTACAAGCTGACATCCAGTATAATTACAAGGTTTCCTACTGGAAAGAGGAGCATTAAACCTTACTGGTTGCTGCAAGTGGAACACTTAAATGCCTTGCTGTTCTTTGCCTTAAAGGAGAAAACAAGGTTAAAAATGGAAAACATGGACTAAAGAATTCTTTTGGAGACTATTCTAAATCTGAATCAGTATTGTTGCACAGAACAAATGCAGAGTTAATACTCTACTTTTGAGAGCTAACTTAACTCTTCAAGCTTTCATTCTCCCTCTTTTTTTTTTACAGTATTCCTCAGTTTCTACAGAAAATGGCTCTTATCTCCAGAAAGCCAGCGGACAATTCCCTCTGGGGTTGCTCAAATAAAACTTACAAGAAAAATTCCATTCAACAGATTTTTATTTATCAATTTGGTTTCGCGATTACAACTGTTTCAGTTTTCTTCCACTGAAGACAAAATACAAACTTTTACAGCAACACTTGCAGAGAACATTCATAACAGCTTGATATTTGCACAAGGCGGCTTCAAGAAAAAGCCAGGTAACTTGAAGAGTCACTACAGTTCAGTGCCTAAAATTCATGTAGGGGCAAATACAACTACAGATCTATGAGCTACCTTCCACTTCAAAACGCAAGTTGTTACCTCAGGTTTTTTTTGCTAGCACACAGCACGGATCAGCCCATACTGCCATTTCACAAAGGAGTAATTACTAATCATAGTGAGGCAGCCAAGCACATGGTGAAGATGTATAACCCAGCCTCCCCTCCACCCAAACAACCAAAAGGGAAACAATCCTAGCCAGAAGTCTGTAAAGGGGGGGATCATACTTTGCTGGCTAGGCTAACAAGCAAGTGGTACGTAGTGCAGGCCTTCCAGAACACAACTGAATTGATACAGTACAAGCTTGAGTTTTTCAGGTTGGCATCTGTGTATGTCAGAGATCCTGGGTTTCCTATAGTCTTGGAAAGTAGCAATTGCTGGCACCAAGAAAAAATTAGTAACTAAGGCAAGGTATCCCTTCTACCCTTTTAAACAAAATTTGAGGCAAAAGATTAAGTAACTTTAAGGCACTTTAAAAATTATTTTTAGTTTGCTTTACCAGCAGACTTTATCAGCAACCTAAATCAGGGTCAGCCTAGCTCATAAATAAGCATTTTAGTAATAGTTTATAATGTCTTCCATGCTATGAAGTGTTCCGTTGCAATTTTCTGCAAGTTACCCAGAAGATAGCCCTTTGAGGCCCCCCCAAATTATGTACTAGGCATACAGTTTGCTTTGCTGAGCTGAAGGAGAACTATCACACTTTAGCAGATTATTTTGCTCACTGCAAAGCAGAGAATACAAGCTCATGGATATCTTCTTAAACAAATAAATGTACTAGAACAGTTCTGAGATAAGGAAAGGGCAGATTAAGTCATTTCACAATAAGGCCAAGGATATACCATCTAACCCACACACATACTGTTGCTGGAAACTGGCTGCTCACTCTGCTGTTTTAATAAACCTGAGCTGATTGTCTTAGTTTTGTTTGGAAAATCAAAAGCTAATAAACTCAAAGATACAGTACTGGTGAGTAACTTTGTAGCAAGTTGCATTTTCTATTCAGCACAACAGAAACAATGCCATTTGAACTAGAAGAATGAAAGAAAGCAACACTGTGCACTTTAAATTCCCAACTGAAGTGCACTTAATTTGCTTCATATTTAAGCTCCACTGCCATGACTATTATCTGCGTTAATGCATCATTTTGTATTAGGTGCCAAATTCCAGTCAAGTCAGAGCTATCAACAGTACTACAGATTACCCTGAAATTGATGATCAAAGTATATCATCAAAAGCTAAGTATTATGTGCTACATCCACCACTTGAATTTCATCTTTACTTCCATTCTTCCTGTGGGTTTACTTTCACAGGTGCTCAAGTCACTGGAGAAGACGTACCTTTGATACTCAGATCACATGGCTGACCCAGCCAAGGAAAAAAAAATACTACTTGGCCACATAGATTTCCTTACCAGTTCACTGGAGGGTGACACCAACCTGATGCCAGGAAGAGGGAAGGGGGAAAGAAAACAGGTGTAGCCATGGCTGTCCCAGGACTAGAGCAATCCTGACTGGGATTAAATCAGCAGATCCTCTGAATTATGCTTAACTGCTCCTTCAGCAAGCAGACATACTGGAGGGTAAAGAAAAAAAAAAACAAACCACCCAAACCTTGAAATTAATTGTAATAAATTTAGGAACCATTTGAGTAAGAAAATTCCCAGGATTTTCCAAACATCAGATTTCAACTATAAATGTAAATTGTTGCCTTTTTATACAGGGAGTGAACTAAATTTTATCACTAGTTTTTTTGGTTTGCAGGCCAAAACAAAAGGTAAACAAAGTTCCTGTCTGTAGCTGAACCTTACTGTACCATGCTTCTCCATCCTCACAAGGTCAGTAAGGGACAGTTACTTACTGTAAAAAGTTTTTAACTGGAATGCTCAAGTCACATGTATTCCATTATCCTAATTAAAGCTGGTATTTAATAGCTTTGAGATAGGTGGGACACTTTTGCAGCCTTTTGATTTTTAGTCTTTTAAGGCACTAATCTTCATTTCCCCTTTAAAAGGATTATCCTTACATCCCCTCTTCACCTGCAACATTAATTGAAAAGGGTGTAGGATATCTGTTTGGAATGCAGCGGAATGCAGTTTTTAAATCAGGCAACCTTTATTCTTATGTAAATTAAAAAAAAAAGAGGAAAAAAAGAGTTACATTATTCTATTAAGACATCATCTACTTCTACAATTTCGTTCATCTTTCTAGCAGCACGCTTTAAGAGCCATACGCTAGTATAAATGGTATTTCACTCCCTGAAGTCAGGGAGTGAATTCACATCTTGATAAAGCTGAAGGGATACCGTATCAAATGTTGATTAAATTAGCCTTCACAAGTCATCACAAGATTATCTACTCAAGACAGTGTTGCCACTGAGTAAGAATCTCTGAATGTCTACATTTGGCATATCAAAAAAAAAAAAAGTCCCACAGCAGCAGCCACTAAAGGAAAATAAGACAGCCATTAGAACCCATGCAGCATATTCCAAGTACTCCTGTTTGAAGAGATTAACGTCACATCTTGCCAAGTATAATGTTGCAAAAATATTCTTTTAAAGTCTTCTTTTAGAGATTTAAAGGATAATATGAACTGCTGTCTTCCATGAGCAACAGAAAATATTTTGGTTCAGTGAACTACAGGTGTTGGGCTACAAGTCCATTACAAAGTGGCAGGTCCTAAAGTGTGTGATAGTTTCGGTCTTTTGACTTGCAGAATTTGTACAGAAAGAAAACAACAGCCTGCAGACCCAGGACAAGGACAATTCCACCTATGAAACTTGCAGCATCAAATGTAGATTTGCGTGGAGAAGGTGCAGGAGTCACAGTAGCATTTGTACCTGTTAAATACGACATTAGAGTTTGTAAGTGTGCACTACTCACAACAGTTTTCCAGATTTTAGTGCTAGCTTCCTGGTATCAAGATTACTCAATATACCAAATACCAATAAGGAAACAAAAAATAAATAAAAAAGACATGTCAGCAGCTGCATTTAGAACTGTGATACCGAAATTCTGATTAAATATTGTTTGTACAAGGCTAGAGCTATTTATAGCTGCACTGCTCTAGACCTCAATACTGAGAAAGTCCCAGCTGGACCTTCTGTACTTCAAAAAGCAAAAGCTTTCCTCCTTTACATGAAGTATGTTATTGATATACTCAGATTCAAAACACATTTTCCAATCTCTGCTGCTTGCTCCAGTTTTCTGCTTAAATTCAAGTTAATTATCTTCCACCTACTAGACAAGAGTCATGCTTAAAGAAACTAGCTTGGAGCCACAACATACATGAATCTGGAATTAACAGCCATCTGCTGATGGCTGGTTCTGAAGAGCTTTACTTCATGAGAGCTTTTCATGAAATACCATATTCAGGACTGATGCAGAAATAAAATACTTCAGCTTATTTCCATCACTATTATGCTGAAGTGAAAAAACAAAATACCACCTCCCAAACATAAGTGAGTTAACAAGTGACTTCCAGACACACTATTAAAAACAGACAGCTGATTTAAATTGACCAACACATCTGACTTTTAATATCTCACCAACTCTTTTTCTCTTTTTACATACATACATCTCCTTCAAATTACAGACGTGCCATAAAGTTAGAAGTGACAACAGCAAATATACCAGTACTACTTCAATGCTGACACTTAAGTCTTTCAAGACGACATTTATTTCTAAGTATTTTACACTTTAACTATGCTAGTAGTAGTAGCAGTTACCTGGAATACTGGGTGTTGTGGTAGCTGAAGTAATGGCAGTTGTAGGTAGAGGAGGATGTGTAGTTACAGTGGTGACATTAGCTGTTTGAGAGAAGACAGCATATGCATACCATAAACTTCAAAAGCAAAGAATAAGCTTTGACCTCAGACTGTACCCCACACAATTCAGATGTTCAGCTGCATGGCATTTAGCCAAGTTTCTGCAGTAAGGATTTCTTTTCTCAAACTTGCATACTAATGTTACCCAAATATTTCAAGGTTCTCCGCAGATCAGACAATCATTCTTCATTCACACAAAACCACTTTTCTTTCAAGTACTGATATAAAGGCTGGTATTCGAACAAGAATCAAGACAGTTGTTTCAAGACAACTGAGAATCTGCATCAAGGCTAAGGACTTTCATTAAACAGCCCTCAGAATCAGCTGGTGTTTACTGTACTAAAAAAAGTACTTAAAGTGATACCTTAAGGTATAAACACTTAAAGGATAGCAAAACTTCCTCTTTCTTCCCCCACCATCTTCAAGAACACTAACTGAATGGCATCACTAAAATAAGCAAACACTGAGCTGTAGCTAGACTGTCTCCTATAAGCTATCAAGCCAGAACACTGGATCTCTGACCACCCCCCCAGATCAGCATTACTAAAATTTAATCAGTATTCCACTACGTGCCTGGGAGAAGTGCCAGCATTTGCAGGTTTACTCATAGCTAAACATCACTCTGCCATATATTAGGTTGTTCTGAGCCCAACCCCCCAGCCCCAACAAAAAAAAAAAAAAAAACAAAAAACCCCAAACCAACCAATATTTTAAAAAAACTTCACTCTTAAGATGGTAGCACATGCAACAATGAAAAAAAAAAAAACAAATCAACCAATTAGACTCATCCTTAGTGGAAATGACTAATCAAACTTAAGCAATTACCACTGAGCCAATGCTTAATTATACCGTAAAGAAGCATTTTCTGTTAGTTTTATAAAATCCCCTTCTTCCAAAGCTTGGGACCCTGTATGTATTCCATACATCAGAGGTTTGGTGGTCATGTTACTGCAGTCATCTGTGGAAAAAGCCCTTGTCCTTTATCTTATTCACCAGTTCCTAGTTGACTGCCATTCTATGTTCAGAGGTACTGTATTACCTATAGTAGTATGAGCTGTTGTAGCAGGACTGGCTGTGGTCGCATTGGAAGATGCTGTGGTAGTATTGGAAGATGCTGTGGTAGCATTGGAAGATGCTGTGGTAGCATTGGAAGATGCTGTGGTAGCATTGGAAGATGCTGTGGTAGCATTGGAAGATGCTGTGGTAGCATTGGAAGATGCTGTGGTAGCACTGGGAGATGCTGTGGTAGCATTGGGAGATGTTGAAGGACTACTGGAAAGAACTGTAGGAGCCATGAAAGAATGAAGAGTTAAAGAGATTAATCATAGTAATTAACTAAAAAAAAAATAAAATTAAAAAAAAAAATCACAAAACAAAACTAACAAGAAAAAGCTACAAAATGGAACAGCAACAGGCTGTGTTTCTGTGTTTTAAGGAATTCATATTGCACCAAGTTTTATTGCAGCTTTGGTCTGAGACTGCAAAGTAGTTTAATGTTCAATCCACACTAACAGCAAAAGTTGCATCAGCAACTACAAGGAAAACCTTGTCACAGGCAGCCCAGTCAAGCCAGTGTACAACTGCCAACTCAAGATTTCTCAAAGTAAACAGAAGGGAGAAGAGTCCTACTGTACAAGCATGAACTGCGCATGCTTTACACAATAGGACACTAGGTATTCAGTACTGCTTCCCAACCTCACTGCAACCAAAACTGAACCTGACCTATCAAGCTCAACTAGAAATCAGTGGTTAGACTGCTGAGGTGGCACAGGGTGGGGGGAAACCAAGACATCCTTAAGAAAAAGCTTTCTGTTCCAGGAATTGTTGCTGGTTGTAGGTGATGTCAACCTCAGCATGTGCTGTGAAAAAAAACCACAACCCACTGACCCCCTAACTGTGAAGCCTTCTGCAACTTACTGAACTAACCAAGTTAATCACACATGGACAGCTTATCTAAACTGTTGCTTAATCAT